CTACTTTGACATGAGTTTTATAGCACCCAGGAAGAACATGTTTTTTTTTTCCAGAGATTATTAAAAAAGCTATGGAAGAAAAAAAGGATTAGATATTCACGTCTATATCGTGGAGCTGAGTTTGGGTAAGTTCATTTGCATGGTCCACAGAACATAATTTTCATAAACATTTATTTCAGTTACTGGAGTCACTCATCAGGTGATTAATGGCTTGTTTGAAGGTAAATGGTTTATCTGAAAGAAAAGGGTATAGTGGCACAGAAAAATTGTGACTGAGTTGGTTGGTTACTTTTCCAGTCTTCTGAAAGCATTTAAAGTATTTCTACTCTCATTTCAAATTAACTGCAAAAATTCTCTATCTGTAAAGTTGTATGTATTCACTAGGCTTCATTGCTTGCATAAGACAAACAGGCTTTGAGATAATCCTACAGAAGCAGTCTTAGGGTTTCAAAATGCAATGAGAGTCACAAGAAGCCACAGTTGTGGGGTAATATCTTTTATTGGATCACGTAATATGGGCGGAAAGGGAAGACAAGTTTCCATCATACCATCTTGCCATATGCCTGCCTTCTTTTTTGTTCATATTGTGTCATCTCTGGTAGACAACAAGAATTTAGTAAGAGCTGGTGACACTGAGTTTGTGAAGGACACCTTTTAACTGATTACACAGGGAAGAATATTATGATCAGAGGCCTTGGGATGCAAATCAGAACTTTTCTTGTTGTGAACAATGTTTAGGATATCCCTTCACTTATACATCTGGGTTTTTTTTATGTATTTATTAGGTGAGAATTGTGTGCTTTTTGTTTCACACATTAAGCAGCTGTGTCTTCAAGCTTGGGACTAAAATAAGTTATTGATTTTACAAAAAGAACTGGAACAGGCACACAGATTTCACAAGTTCCTCATACAACATGCTTTCTTAAATGTTGTGGCTCCCTCGGACAGTTTAAGTATGTAGCCTCTTGATATAAATGTCTATACATCATGACAAAATGCTCTAGGAATTTTACAGAACACATTGAAAAAGCAGTGTCTACACTCAGAAAAAAAGAAACAAGCTGCAAAGAGCTATCAGAAGGAAGAATTTTATTGAGAGTTTCTTCTTTTCTATAAAAAGACATTGAGATTTATTTGTATGGTTTCATGTATGTTTAATTCATTTTCTTCACATAAAGCAAATCCTAAGGTGATTTTCCTTTGGAACCAATGGGATTTGCTGCACAAATTAGTACTGCACAGAATTTAGTAGTGCCATAATCAGTCCATGAGGTTTTGGCCCCTTGTGGATAGTCACAGATTGATGTGTCTCAGTCTCATTCCTGCAGCTCCTGGTGACCTGTTAGGTTTCTGGTTTCCTGAATGCCTCACTAAAAGTCTTCTTGATGGCTGCAGTCACCACATATGGGTTTCTGTGTGCCATCTTACCCTACCATGCCCAGATTCCTCTTGGGATGGTTAGGCCTTTCCCCTGCCTAAAGATCTGAATCTGGCATGCAGCCTTGAGAGGAAGTTTCACAGGAGAGTTCCTTGAGCTAGCAGTAACTCTTGATGAAGACCACCTTTGTAGGGGCTGTTACTTTGCACTTGAAAGAGAGGGAACGACTGAAGAACACTTCAGATACACTCAGCTATTTGATGGTGATCAGGACAAAGCAAATATGCATTACCTTCTTATCTGGAGAAGGAGAGAGAGTGTGATCTGAGAACTGGTTTATTTTGTACATAAAGTTTAAAATACAAAGGTAGAGGAAAAAAATATTTGTAAGAAAGGCTTCTCACACATTCCTGAACCTCAAAGTAACATTCCTGCATGTAAAAAGATCATTCAGAGGAAATTTAGGAGAGTGTTCTCATGAAGCTTAAATTAATGTTAGTAGTATGAGAAATGTCTAGCAACTTTCATCAGCAAAGACCATGCTTTGTGCGGGGCACATAAAATCTTTCTAAGAAAGAGCTCATTTCATATGAAAACAAAAACTGAGATGTTTGTTAGTCTTGCCACAAAATTTTAGACCAAGAATTTTTAGTCTCCCTGAAACAAGAAAACGAATCAAACGTTTCATAAAAGTAAATAGCATAAGAGTAGTAAAAATCTGTGGTTTTCTCTGCAGATCAATTCATACTGGAAAAGTGAAATAAATTAGCTGCATTTATTAAATAGAATACAAAACTTTGGGTTAATCTAGTGATTACAATTGTAAAAAGAATCATGTATCCAAATGTACTTAGCTGTTTGTTTTGGAAATATGATTTATGTTTCAAAGAACATTCTGCTGTTATTCACCAGTGGAAAATTTTCTCCATGTCTGTAGCTTGGAGGAGCCATTATGTGGTGATCTTTACTACAGCTAGGTATTTACTATAATTCCTAGACTTAGTTAGAGTGGAAATTATGGTAAATTTTTTAATGAGGGATAAACACCCAGATTGCAGTCACTGTTCTTTCCTATATCTGACTTTCTAGGTTTATGATACAGTCATAGAAAAGAATGACATGAAGAGACTGCTATGGTAGCAGAAGCTATTCTTAGCTAGTCAGCACTATCTGCAGAAACAGACTGATTCACTTTGATTGCCACTCAGCAGGACTGAAGGTAAAAGTCATATGTAAATAGATGGGCTAGAAATGGATGCCTGTATTCATTAATCTTTCATTAGACTCAATCTCAAAATTACCCAAAGGTTTTACAAGGACTTTTCAAACTCTAATTTGGCCCCTGGCCTTTAAACAAAATGAAAGCTATTGATTGATGTTCTGGCCAGGATGCAAATGAGCCCATCAGTTCCTGAATCAGGCTTTATTGGTTTAGATGCACTTTCTTATATCTGAACAGGAAAGCTACTTGGAAATGAAAATTTTTATGAAGCTTCATAGTAAGGCTGATGCTATGTTAAATTAACTAATTAAGCTCCAGTGAAAGCAAAGACTTATTCTATTATTTCCAGAAACACACAAAAATTTGCTTTACTGTCCTTTAAAAAGAGAAAAAAAAAAAAAACCCAGCACAGTTTTTAAAGACAGTAAATACATATTTTCCTGGTTAAATTTTAAAAAGCACAGATTTCTGGATGTAATGGATCTTACATTCATATTCCTTACAGAATGATCTATACTTCTAAAGCAAATATTGGTGTGCCCTCTACTATTAGAAGAATAGATGTCTTCAAATTTGGAGCAGCAGGCTTATTATTTATCTATTTTCAGCGATGAAGTGTCAGGATATTTTTGTTACTATTGGTTTTTTTTGTCTGTTTTTTTTTTTTTTTTGGTTGGTTGGTTGGGTTTGGGTTTGGGTTTTTTATTGTTAGGAGGACTTAGTGCTCCTCTGTCTCTGCTCTTTTTGAATAGCCAGGCAATAAAAAGGCTCTGAGAAAGTGACCTGGATTCCCAGACCCTCTCAGTATGAGAAGGTCTCTCTCCTTTTCTAGGACCTAGTCAGCCACCAGTCTCCAGGATGACCTCATCAGCAAATCAACTACAGCAGAGAAAAGAGTGCAAGAGAAAGCAAACAAAAGAGTTCTAGCCCAAATTAATAGAAGGGAAGTCAAGTTACCTGACATTTATTGGACAAAAAATGCAAAAAATAGTCATAAACATAAAGATTACCACCATCTACAGCTTTTGTCTTATCTGAATGTCTTGTACACCAGAGGAGAACTAGGCAGCACCTAGGTGAGTGTTCTTTCTCTTAGTGTGACTCTCAGGTCAGAGTCATAGAGACACAGCCAGAGAAGGAAGAATGGGCTTAAAAAAACTCAGTGTCAAAGGTCATCCCTGAAGAGTTGTGAGATTCAGTAACCCTGAATTCAGATCTTCACATCAGGAAGGAGTATTCCAATACATAAGATGGCAGCAGTAGTCAGGACCATAGCTACATTTTCAGGGACCTTCAGTGACTTACTGCAGGGTTTACCCTCCATAAACTGAGTACACCACCCATTTTGCTCAGAGCTGGCATATAAGGAGAGCTACAGACAGTACTCTGTGGTATTTTAAGCCAATCATGGAGACACTTTGTGAGGTTAAGAGCAAATAAATACAAAAACTGTGTTGTAATCAAAAGTATGGATAGTTTCTGAATTTCTGTTACAGACAGATGTTATAAAGCACTAAGATTACTTAAATAGGTCTTGGACCAGATTTAAGTTCTCCTTGTGGCTATGAAAACTCATTACTGCACAACTACTTAATGTGATTGCACTTGAACTTCGTAGATGCTCCTCTGTGTGACCCCAAGCTTTGCTAGGCATGCAAAAAATGGATAGAGATACCTTTTCTTGACATGACTGAACAACCCAAAACCTATTTCAAAGCTCAGTCATATCAGGACTTTCAAAGTATGGTCTTGCTTCCTTAATCCTGGACAGTTCAGTTGGGCTATAAGGAAGCTGCAGGTTGTCTCACTCTCCAACTGAAACTGTGTCAATATGCTTTAAGAAAGCAAGATAATTAATGCCCTGCCTGCTGAAGAATGCAAGAGAGACTTTCATAGGGAGAAAATCTTCTGCAGAGAGAAAGTATTGACTGCTGGTACCTGTTGTAGGCACTGTCTATGTTAGATCCAGTGATCTGCTGACATGACACTCTGGAAAAGCCTGGTTCTTGTCAGAATTTTCAACAGTGGGAAAAGACATGGCTTTCAGTTCCAGCCAATGTTACCATTAAATCCTGCAAGAGCATAATAAATCCATGAAGTAAAAAAGGCATTGAATAAAACAGCAAAGGGAATAAACCAGACACTGTTTGCACTCTCTCTTTTTCTTTTAACTGGAATTTGTTGCCTAAAAAGTAGTTGAACCTTATTGGATAAAAAAAAAATATTGACCTCAGAAGCAAAGGCAAAGTTGAGGTGATCCATAATGGACATTGGTAAGTCACAGACATATCACTGGGTCAGCTCTTGGCAGGTCAAACTCTACAGCACAAAGTATCTGTGAAAGTCTAACACAGTCCCTGAGAGTAATATACCTCTGGCCCAAAAAAGACTTATTTAGCCCTGGCATTTTCGCATGCCTACCTTACATGCAGTTGACACCACTCATCTTGCTCCAGCCTGGAACCCCAAGTCTCTCTTCTGTTCTGTGTTGAGAATAGGTACTGATTATTTATGAGTCATAGACAAGTGAAAATGGGCAATTATAGAAACATCTGAGTGGTGGCATGAGTCTGATCTACTGTAAATACTTATGTGATCCAAACTTTTGCCACGAACTTTGGAAAAGGAAAAGAAGTTTACCCGAAACAGGCATATACACTGCTCATGAGATTATTTCCTTACAGTTTAACCTTCAGGTCTTACAACAACAACAACAACAACAAAAAAAAATCACAGCTATAGAAACTGAATGTTGTTCATCACAGTCATCGGATTTTCTCATACAGGGGTGGCAGAAGCTGGTGGAGTTGGTCTCTGTCCTGTGGCTAGCTGTGGTTAGTGGAGCTGTCAATCTGGCATTCTTCCACAGTACTCAAAATTCATTTTGGCTTCTGGGTGTGTTTTTCTGTTAATCAGTTGCCAATATCATTGTATAAATCTTTCCAGCCTATTTTATATAAGTTTCCAGTCTAGCAAAGTGGGGCTCTATAGGCTATTTCCAGACTTGCTGTCTCAGTGGCGTTGGCAGGATCCCAAGCTGTGGACACTGAGTGGCAGAAAGCCTGCTCAAAAAAACAGGGGCAGGAGGAAGAGGAGGGCAAAACTTAGGGGTGAGATAGCTATTAACACTGAAGAAGGAACTAAATTCAAAGGAGTTGGCATGACCTTGAAAATGGGTAGGATCATGCGGAAACAAGATGGAGCAAAGGAGCTTGGAATAATCAGGAGTTTTCAAGGTGCTAGTCCACCCTTCCTTCCCATCAGGGTAGTGGTAATGCCACCATCACCCTTAGCTTTACAGGATAATCCTTCCTTGGCAGTCACTTCCAGAGCCACAAGCAATAGGGAGCAAAGAGACCATTGCTTCCAGTGCCGGAAATCTTAGCAGTCTGTTGAACAGATTAAGTGAATGCCTGTGCAGAAAACACTGCAGAGACTAAAGCCATAAATTCTTGCTTGAGTTCTCTTAAATAACCCTATATAACAGTCTGTTATATCTCTGTAAGAATAGCCATCCCAAAAGACAAAGGGTGGCAGACAGCTGCCTTTCACAGTCACATCTTCTGAACTATTATTAACAGGTTAGCATGTGTTGTTTATTTGTTTGCTTGAAGTTTTATGTTTTAAGGAAATTGATCCTGCTCCTTTTCAGAATCATAGCGCACATCCTCTTACACACATCTGCACATGCATGTGCACATCTATTCCATGGAAATAGACTGCATTGACTGCATATGCCACAGAATATAAACCTTGGATTATAAAATAGGCAAAGTCATATTCTGAATGCGTTTTACAGGTGTAAATGTTAATACAGTGAGATTTGGGTTATTTTTCATCTTCACATAATAAAAATATTTATTTCAAACTTTCTGTAAAACAGAATCACTTTAAAGCTAGGATGGAACTTGCAAAATTTCAGGGTCTAAAGTATTTGCTTGCCTTGTGTGGTGTATGTCAGACAAGGGTAGATGAAGAAGGACCACAGCAGGAAACACAGCTCTGCCTTAGTGCATTACTTGCTGTTTTCAAATAGTACATTCACCACTGAAATTTCAGTGACCTTAGAGATCTATCAGGAGATCTCTGTCTAGTTTTAGTACATTTACATTTAAACACATATTAGGACCCTCACTATGTCTGGGGAGGTCTTTCCATATTATCTTGTAGTTACAGGTTTGTTTTTTCTTTTTCTTAATTAAATTGAAGAAGACCAGCTGCATGCACTGCTTACAACAGAAGTATGGTATTCAATACTGTAAAACAGGAAAGGTTGCCCAGGGAAAAGGAAATATATTACAATTCCATCGCATTTGTAACATGATAGCTGTATTCTGAAAGATAGTAAATATCACTCATAAGACATCACTTTGATGGCAGTTTGACAAATAAACAAGGTTAACAGAATTCAAGGTCTTTTTCCAATGCACACTGAGTATCCATGGTTCCTTTTGTAACAAATGTTTTGAATTATATTTAATTTACAAACTGTTTTGAAGTTTTTGTTGTTATTGTTAGGAGTTTTCCCCAGGGAAAAAAAAAAAGAACAACAACAAAAAAACAAATGCAAAAACCAAACAAACTGCCCTCTACATTTATCCAAACATCTTCTGGATATCAGTCTCTCAGGTGTTTTTGCCTTTCTGTTGCTTGACAATCCAAGCAGAAATTCTACTCAGCTAACAGAAAACGGGCAATTTCCACTGATGAATTTTCAGTCATAGACAAGGTTTATTCTTGTCATCCAGGGGAAAAGAAAAACACTTCCTAGCAGTCAGCTTTCATTTTGCCTTGAGTACACTACCAGTTTCCTGCCCAGATATTTCTAACTTCTTGCCATTAGCTGCATGTACTTTGATTTGCTTCATCCTATTTTCTTGATGCAGAGATTAAGCATACTAACATTTATATTCAGAATATTTCTTGGAATAAAAGCTTCTTCCAGAAAGGATGGAAAACCATTTTTTATATTATCTGTACACAAAAATCAAGTAACAGTTACTTGAGACATGCACCTAAATGCTACAGCTAAACCAATGTAAAATAGAGAAGCTATAATTTGAAAACTTTATCTAGGTGTTCCTGCTCCGGCAGGGGGATTGGACTAGATGATCTTTTGAGGTTCCTTCCAATCTCTAACATACTGTGATACTGTGATACTGTGAAAACAGAAAATACAATTTCAGGACTTGTACTGCCAAAAACCATGTTAGCCAAATGATACAGAATGCTGATATGGAATAAATTCCACCTGGCTGTTTGAATTTGTTTTAAAGTGTTGACAGATTATTGTTGTACTAACAAGCTTTGTGCTGGATCAGGTATCATTTGACTGTGGCTTAGGTTTTACGAGCATAAAATGTAAAACCTACACAAACTACAGTGTTTTTGCTAGTTTAAATTCATAATATTAAACAATTCTACACATAAAGTGGCTGTAAGTTTTAATTAAACTGAAAACTACTCTGTTAAATACATTTTTTTTCCACTTGAAGATTAGCATTGGTGTAATGAAAGCTCTTTTTTAACAAAACTGGTTTCTTTATAGGAACACAGTTTATGTGTATCTCAGTCTAAATAGGCAGTGTGTCTCCTTCTATACACCCTTTGAGTGATCCTAACACAGCTGATTTTCATCTGCCACACCTGGGTAAATCTCAGAAGCAGATGCTGTGTTCAGTGAGACAGGGATGTCAACTGGAAAGCAATCTTTTGACCTGTACCTGAAGTAGAACACATAATAAAACCTCGAAGCGAAAAATTCTTTTTTTTTTCCTTTTCAGAATAGTCATAAGCAGATTGAGAAACTTTAATTTTATTCTTTTTAATAATTTTAAAATTATTCAAAACGAATTCATCATCATTCTGTTGTGAATATCAATATTCCTTTTTCCCAATTTCTATGCCATTGGCTATTTACACAACTCACATGTTAATGTCTCTTTCCTGATGGATTGATCTGTTTAATCAAGCATCAAAAATCAAGGAGTAGAAATGAAAAGAAATAATAAATATGTTTCAGCAAACATTTTAGCTTAAATTTATCTGCTTTTTTTTTTATAATGTCATCTTAGGAAGCTTGATCCCTTGAATATTTTTTTAAATGAGCATGAAAAGATGTAAACACAGCTGAAGTGACATTTTCCTGACTCAGTACTCACAGGATACAGAAAAGCTGCTGATGCTTTGGGTGCCAACAAAACACATTTCATTGTCTCCAGAAAGCTAAATGTCCATTTCGACACCAGCAAGACAGGATAGTCCCCTTTACTGCTGTCTGAGTTCACAGGACAGAAATATGCCTTATGAATTCACATTAACATGGAAGAATGTTAATATTTCAGCAATGTAAAAGAAATGTATGAAAACATCTTGACTTACAGGACAGGTGAATTAGACTCGGGATATGTCTACAATTTATAAAGCAGCCCTATAAATGATGGCTCATTGAAGTGAAAGCAAAACCATGTCATATGGCAGAGTGCACTAGCTTTACTGCAGCTATGTGTTGTTCAACACTCCTGTATTGTATTTTTTTTTCAACATGAGAACAGGTACCACCTCACTAGTTGCTCCTATCTATCTGGAAGTCTAATATAGCTAAAACCTTGTGGCTTTGTACATCACTCCATGGATACACTTTGGGTGAAGTAGGCTTAAGGAAGACTAAGTGCTGACTTGGAAAGTGCTTATCATAAATTGTGCATCTTTTGGAGACACCACTCAGAAACTTGGTCACTCACTTTTTGTCACCTTTCTCAAAAAGTTTACAACTTGGATAGTGCATTTCTTGCATTATATTCTGAATACTTGCATTATGTTTATGACATTATTTCATGAAGAAATCATAATGAATATATTGATATACTACTATGAATTCCTTGATTAAATTCTGGAGCTGAATCTAATTTTCTGTTCATTCTCATTTGTACTCTGAGCATGTGGTTACACAGGTTTCCTGTGCTTTTGATGAGTACTATATAAGTGTCAGAGCTGCTTCATTTCCTGCTCAACTGTAGGACTGGGAACTACAGACACAAAATATAAAAGTCTAATTCTGCAGTGGCACCAAGGAGCTTGGGCTTGAAAACTGTTCTTCACTCTTTCTTAAAGAGAGTATGATTTTTTTTCTGTAAAGAACATACAGAGCTTTTCAAAAGTAAGTGGGACCAGAGCCCAACTAAACTCTGTTTCTTTTGCTTCAGCATTACAGCCTGCTGCCCTGAATTTAAATCTCTACTGGACATTCAAGACCACAAGGAATGAAGCGTTACACATCACTGGTTTTGGCTTGGATTGAAGCTCAGTAGTAATTGAAGACGCTTGTCATGGTCTTTCATGGTAGTTCAGTCAGAGATTAGATCAAAAGAGTAATAAATATAGAAAATATTGGAAAAAAATACTCTGCTGCCTCAATAAGGAAATATGCTTGCTTCCTTCTATGCTCACTGGGCAAAACAAAACAAAACAACCCCAAACATTT